CAATTGCTGACTTTGCGTATTGGAGTCCAGGTGTCAGCCCGAGGAGAGGGAAGAAGCGCTGGTAGATGTGCACGTGGCCGCCGAGGAACAGATCAACCTGACAGCAGCAGCAGCAGTGGTGGTGGTGGTGGTTGTTGAGGTGGGCGTGGTGGAGGAATGGAGAAGGGGGGGTGGAAGCGCAGTGAGTTGGAGAGGAAGAAGGGTAAAGGGAATGCGGTGCCGTTGATTCGAATGCCATCGTATGTCATGACAGTGCCAGTGTATGTTTTGCACCCACACAGGCACATACAGACACAGACAGACAGACAGACAGACACACACACACACACAGACAGACACAGACAGACAGACAGACAGACAGACACACACACACACATAGACACACGCAGCCACTCAGCCCACCTGGTACTTGTTGGCGAGGGCATCAAACCCGGTAAAGTTGGTGACGGGCTTTGGCTGCAGGCCGTGGTGTGTGTCTGGCTCAAAGTCCATGTACCATCCCTTGTGGCCGAACATGACGATCCAGGGTACGTTGTCCCGGTTGGCGTGTGCACGTGCGAGGTCGTCCTCCAGCCAGGCGAGCTGCTGCTCGGCGGTGAACGGGTGCGGCGAGTGCTGCGTCTCGTTGTAGAACACATAGACCTCCGTGTCGATGGCCACAAAGTGGACGTTGTCCGTGTCCCACGAGTAGAAGAACGACGAGTTGGTGCCGCTGTGTGCGCCCGCGTTCTTGGCCACGGCCTCAAATCGCCGGTAGTACTGCGTGAAGTTGTCCTTCTTCTCATGGTTGCCGGGCGCTGGCGAGTGGGTGAATATGTGCGCGTGTGCGTATGTGTGCGTGTGCGTGTATGTGTTACGTGTGTATGTGTGCGTGTGCGTGTGCGTGTGTGTGTGTGTGTTACATGTGCGTTACATGTGCGTACATGTGCGTACATGTGCGTACATGTGTACGCATATGCGTGCACATGTGTGTTCATATGTGTGCGTGCGTGGAAGGATGACAATAGCAAGAGAGAAGGAGAAACAGAGAGGAGGGGCTTGAGGTGCAAAGCCGTCACATCACTTTGATGGTCATTGCATCATTCACAGCACGCACCTGGCATGAAAGGCATGCTGCTTGTGAGGGGCTGCAGTGTGTTCATGAAAGCGTTGCCAATCTAGAAGAAGCAGTTGCACCGTGCACGCATGCGGCGTGAGATGGGACGCAGTCAACGGCGTGTACATGTGCGTGTTTGCGTGCGTGTGTGTTTGCAATGGATGGGCAAAGCCGTGCTGCCAAAGCATACTTGACTGTGATTCGCCATGAGGTCATCTGGCAACAACCGCAAAGGACATGGTGTAGACGCAGCACAGTAGGTGAGTACAGCAAGAGCGGACAACGCATACAGCAAGGTCGTGTGCACACACACACACACACACACGCACACACACGCACACACACACACACACACACACACACACGCACGCGCACACACACACACACACTCGCATTCAAGTATGTCCACATACATGCACACCCACTCATACACATACAAATACACCCATACACCCATACACAACAAATCTATACAGCCAACGATCCTTCGCACATGCAAAGTCGCCGCCGAGGATGAGAAAGTCAAATTCGTTGTGGGCTGATGCGTTCAGCAGTGATTTAATGGACACATCATTCTTCAGGCCAAAGTCCGCTGTGTCCACACACAAGAACATGTCAATAGTGTGACGATAATGAGTGCTCGCATGTGCTGCCAGGTCTGAGGCAAGTGGTTGGGAAGCACGGCAAAGTCAAAGCGCGACAGCAGCTCACCGAGGAACGCCACCTTCAAGCCGCCCTCCCGCTGGGGTGCGTTGACGAACGACATTGTCTGATCAGCAACATCCAACAGTCGTGTGAGTAAAGCACGTTGCTTTCCTAATCCTCCAAACCGCATGTGCAAAGCGAAACAACCAACTACCAACCATACCCACACCTGGGAGGAGCTGCCGTCAGCGCATTGGATGTGATACTGGTAGCGAGTGTTGTGCTTGAGGTTCTTCATGGTTGCCTGGTGCAGGAAGCCAATCTCCGAAAAGTGCCATCCAACAGTGGACGCTGCGTGCGAATAGGGATCGGAGCTGCCCTGTGGGCGATACAGCACGTTGCACGTGCTGCTGTTTGTGCTCACAAAGTCCACTGCCATTTCCGTCGTCATGCCCGTCAGTGACAGGTGAATCTGATTGTGGTTCAAAACGTTGTGTGGTTCAAAAGACGTGTCGGGTAGTGCTGAGGGGTGAGAAGTTTGAAAGGCACACAGACGGCAAACAGGGAAAAGCATCCAGTGATTGAAAGGAAAGCGACAAATTATGCTTCTACCACGCACGTACCCGCCGCACACACACTCCACACACACACACACACACACACACACACACACACACACACACACACACTCACTCACTCCACACACACACACACACACACACACACAGACACACACACACACACTGGCGTACCTGCTCCACGCTGCCAGTGGCATCAACAGCAGCAGCAACAGCAACAGCCAACGCTGCCACAACAACACCAAACAGCATGGACCACGCCATCATCGTCTTTGTTGTTTTGGTTTGTTCTGCAAGGACCGCCGGGTGGAAAATTGACGTATATTTTCTACCAATCGCAAACAAGAGGGTCAAGTTTTGCTGACACAGAGATGGTGATGAGGATGATCGGGGTGTTGGTGTTGGTTGTGTTGGTTGTGGCGGGCGTGCTGTTCGTGGTTGCTGCTGGAGGCAGCGAGGGGGAGGTTGGATTCAAACCAACATGCCCACAAGGAGCCAGCCCCACATGCTCTCCGCACAACAAGGTGAGAAGCACGCCTGTCGTGCACGGCATGTGGAGACGTTGTACACACACACACACACACACACACACACACACACACACACACACACACACACACACCGCAGTCTCATGTGTGATGTGACATGTGATCTGAGTGATGTGACAGTGACATGGTACACAATTGCTTTTCACACTCTCACACCCCCCACACACAAACACACAACAAACACCTTTCACACCCTCACGCACACGCATGTGCATGTCATGGCGGTTAGTGCACACGCTGTCACCACAGTTGCCTGTTCTGTCAGAACTTGGACAACAGTACTTGTGGTGCAAGCGACTGCATGGTGTGCAAGGAGCCGTACTTCCTCATGGTCAAGTACGTTTGTGTCCACCAGCTCCAAGACCAGCGCTAGCTTATCTTTCTTGGCTCGTACTGCTTTTGAGTTTGGTTTTGTGTGGCCTTGACACGTGCCGCGTGAATGATGTTGCCACGTTGTTGATTGACGCGAGCATGGCGTTGTTGCTTGTTGCTTGGCATGTGTAGGTTTTCGGATGGCACTGGCGTGTGTGTGCCGGAAGGTGTGTGAACTAATCCCTGCTTGGACTGTACCTTTTGCCGCATGTGTGAAGGCCATGAATTGGTCGTACGTGCTTCGCGCACTGGTTGGTGGTTCCACCTATTGCTGCGCATGCTGTGCTCATTGTCGACCTTTGTTTGCTTTGCTCTGTTCTGCCGGCCAACAGAGGAAGCATTCATGGAAACTTGTCCACGAAGCAACCCTCGCTGCCGACCAGGGAACAGGTTGGTGGCAATGACGCAGGCCTGGCCATCCATTGTGTGGTCTTGTGTGTGGTACACTCACGGGCCTTGATTGCTTGCTCGTGTCAAGCGCACTGCTCTTCACACACATACACACACACATGCGCACACACACACACACACACACACACACACAAACAAACAAACAAACAAACAAACAAACAAACAAACAAACAAACAAACAAACGAACAAGCACAAACACATACACATGCATACATACCTACACACACCTCATGTACACTTGGTTTTGTGTCTGCTCTGTTGCTTTTTCTTCAGGTGTATGGTTTGCCCCAATGGGTGTATCGAGTGCCAGGGACAGCAGCTGCTCTGTCTTCCACACGAATGCACAGCTTGTCAAAGCGGCTACACGCTGCACCTCGCCTCTCCCAGTGACAAGACGGGAACATGCACATGTCAGTGAATGCTCACATGAACACTGTGCTCACGCTTGTTGCTCCTCTGTACATATGCCCTCACACATGCGCTCTAAACTGCAAATGCCCTGACCCCTCTCCAACACTGCTACCCGTGCGAACCAACCCTTTTCTCACACACACACACACACATACACACATGCACACACATACATACACATGTTCACTTTGCAAACGGCTTCAGTGCGTGTGCGCTCGTTCAAACCGACGTGTCCCCGCAGCGCACACCCAGCATGCAGCCCCTGGAACCAGTGTGAACGGTGTGCGCCTGGCTGTGCTGTGTGCCAGAGCAAAGACACCAACATGTGCCACGACCGGGACTGCCTTGTGTGCGAGCACGGGTACAATCTGCGACAGGTGGATCCAGATTCTGGCAAGGGGATATGCGTGCCCAGCCCCTTGACGCAACTCAAGCTCGCGCATGCAACACACGAGCAGCAGCAACAGCACGGGGCAGACAACGGAGAAGGAAGAGGAGTGGGCACGGGCGCAGCATCACATGCGGGCGAGCCGAAAATGGTTCGGCTAACGCCAAATGCGGGCAGAGGCGGTCAGGGCGGTCGCAATGATCATGGTGGTAACAGTGGTGGTGGTGATTGGTTGGACGGCTGGAACGCAGTTGAGCTGGAGGAAGGTGAGCTGGAAGAACTGTTGGCATCGAAGGACACGCGTGAGAGATTGGCAAAGTGGCTGGACGGGGTGTTGAGTGCAATGGAGGCAGGGGAGGAGGGGGAGGAAGAGAAATATCGCTACCCTCGTGATATTCATGTCGATGGGGAGGAAGAGGAGGAGGAAGAGGATGAGGATGGTGTGATGGAGTCATTGCTTGAGTTGAAGGCTGCGCTTGAGTTGTTCAGGTTGATGTCACTGCTTGAGGATGACGATATCGCTGATTACGGCGACGAGCTGAGCATGGCAGATATGGACATGTGGCAGCTGTTGAAATGCATTCCACATTTCGTCGTGCTTGTCGTTGTGTATGCAATCAAGATGCCCCTGTTCATGTTGATGACAGTTTGGTCCCACCTGCTCTCTCTTGTCTAGCTGCATGTATGCGCGCGCGTGGTGTGTGTGTGTGTGTGCACGTGTGTGGTTGTTAAGTTCTAATTTCAATGCTAACGGGAATAAACGACTTGTATTGGCATCACGCTCGCAGCGATGAGAGGGAGACGCAGAGAGAAAGCGAGAGCATTTTTCACGAGCTTGAAAAGCTTTATCACAAATGGCATAACAATACGGGCAGCACTGCGTGCAGATGCACAAATGCCATGCATAGCGCGTGCTGTGTGTTGGGGGAACGAAAAAGAAAGCAGACACCAAACATAACTTGCGAGGAGACAGCGGTGTATGCACATGGAGGAGGGAACGTGGTCTGAATCATTCATCACCCACGAGTACATGTGGTTGTACCTCAGAGAGTGCAGTCCATCAGAGTGGGAGTGGTGGCAATATCAAATGTAACCAATCTTGCACACGTGCAAACAAGTGCAAGTGAAGATTCGGCGTTGTCATCATCATCATCATCATCATCATCATCATCATCATCATCATCATCATCATCATCATCATCATCATCATCATCATCATCGTCATCATCATCGTCATCATCATCATCATCATTATCATGTGGAGTGTCGACGCTCAATAGATGGGCGCTTGCCCGGCGACGTCCCCTGCCCAGCGAAGAACACCACATTGTGTTTGACAGCATTCATCGCGCCACCATCACTACCATCACCTTCATCGGTGGTGCTCGTTGGCAGGCGGCGCTGCCGTTGAAGTTGCGACTTTCGTCGCTCCTTACCATCATCAACAACAGCAGCATCGTCATCGTCATCACCATCACCATCACCGTCACCATTGCCAGTGGCGGAAGGTGCGCCGTCCACATGCTGGTGCTGATCATCACTGTGAGACCCTTTGCTCTTCTTGCTCTTCTTCTCCTCCCGCTTGCTGTGTCGGTGTTCTTTCTTCTGTTTCTTCTGTTTCTTCTTCTTCTTCTTGGAGCCCCTGTCCTTCTTTGATCTCTGCCCATCCGTGGAACCACTCTCGGCACCACCATCATCGCCACTGCCACCCTCATCGTCATCGTCACCGTCACCATCGTCGTTGTGGCTCTGCTGCGAATCAAACACATTAGCGGGAGCTGTCTCCGCCCGCTCAATCCCGCCCGGTGATTTGCTCGGCGTGTGGTGGTGGTGGCGGCGGCGGCGCAGGTAGTGGTGCCGGCGGTGGTGGTGCTTGCTCTCATCACCATCTTCATCGTCGTCATCGTCGTCACCGTGCTGGTGGTCCTGCTCCTTTGGTGGATGGATGTGGATGTCCGGTCCGCCTGCCCCGTCGCTTCCGCGCCTGAAGAAGGACAGCAACCGGCGGCGGCGGCGAGGCGTATCGGGCGCAACATCCTGTCGGCAGTCGACGTGTGTGTTTGTGGTGTGTGTGTGTGTTTGTGGGAATAACGAATGAGAGCGCGCGGATGTGATAATTGTGTGATTGTGTGACTGTGGGGTTCACGTTGGGAGAGCTGGAGGAGAGAGGCCATTGTAGCTGCCACAACGCTTGTCACTGCAACACACACGAACACACACACACACACACAAAAAAAAAACTGTTGAAAGGGGACTCACGGGCGACTGTTGGTGCTGCTGCTTCTGGTGCTCGGATGAAACGTCCGATTTGCTGCGGGCGTGGCCGCGGCGAAACGGGTTGAACAGCGACGTGGACGAACCTCTGTGACCGTTCCCGCCACTGCCCGGTGTTGTTGGCGTTGTTGCTGCAGCTGACGATGACGATGGTGTTGCAGCCTTCGTTGCCGCGGAGGAGAGCTGCTGCTGCGCCGCCCCAAACCGCCGCGGTGTTGTCGCACCGTCACCACGCGCAGAAAATGCAGACGCTGGTGATGGCGGTGAGGGAGTGGTGGGGTGGGAGAACCGATGACATGGAGGGTGTGGCGGTGTAGAGGAGAAGTGGACGAGGAGTGAATCATGGTGAGTGAGGTTGTGAGGCGTGCCTGTGCATCACAAACCACCACAAAATAGCACGATGCCATGAAACGAAACAGCATGTGCGCACTTCACCCAACCCCTTCGCCCGTGCACGTACGTGATGTGTCGACGTGTGCGTGTGGAGAAATAGCGGATCGTGCACCATCCAGTCGCGAGGGCGATGCCAAATCGTCATCTTCGCGCAGTCATTACGAGGATGGTGATGATGGTTAACATTGGGGGGGGGGGGGTGGTTGTTGCAGTGATGGCGGTGAGTACCATGGAATCGAAGGACGACGGTAGGGATGAGCGGTTGCAGGAGCAATAACGCACCAGACACACAGTCACATGTTGTGACGCTGCAAGGCGCACAGTGCTCACAGTACTTGTTTGCATGCGTGTGCATGTTCGTGTGTGTGCATATTTGTACATGTTTGTGTGTGTATGGGTGTGTTGTACCTGAGAGGATGCGAAGGAAACCAGTTTCGGCCACTTTCAAGTGCTGGTCCGACGATGACGGCGACGAAACCATTTGTCGCGCCAACTCATCCGCCTGAACACACGCACGCACACACATACACATGGCAGGCGATGAGGTGGTAGTTCTTTGTGCCTGCAGTTCCACATTCGAGAATGCACAATACAACCATGTCCATCACCTCAATCACCAACCCCCCCCCTCAAAATAACAAATTCCATTCCGTCCTATTCGCCTTCGTGCAAAAACGTACGCTGACGTGCGTGATGTGTCTGAAGTCGCTCGGGGGCGAAATGAGCTGGTCAATCGGCACGTGTTGGGAGCGCCCTCTCCGCAGCGCCGCGTGCACCCGCTGCTGCCGCTGACGCACGGCTGCAGGCGTCCTCGCACTGACACCGCACACATACACACACACGTGAACACATGTGGCACAAAATCCATCAAGCAATCACAGGTGAGCAGGCATGCAAGATGTTGTACAAGTACGCGCGCGCGTGTGTGTGTGTGTGTGTGTGTTTGTGTTGCACCGCATCACACAAACTTGTCACCCCAATGACACGAACACCGGACCCCCCCCCCACTTGTTACACCACCACGAGCCCGTGCCATTAATTTTCCTCTCACCTGTCGGAGGGCTGGGAAGCAGCAGCCAAGTAGAACGCAGCATCAAGTGGGGGCTGCTGCTGCTGCTGCTGCTGCTGTTGGTGCTGTAGTGATCGTTCGCGTGCTGCCAATTCCTGTTCGCGCCGGTTCAGTTCCTCCTCTCGCGCCGCTTGCTCCTGCGCCTTGCGCCTGGAGCGAACGACGGCCATGGCATCGTGCATTGTGTGCGTGCGTGTGTGTGCGTGCATTGTGTGCGTGTGTGTGCGTGTGAGTGGGTGAGTGAGTGGGTGTGTGCGTGTGTGTGTGTTGTGTTGTGTGTTGCGACTAGGCGAGCTCGCAAGCGTGAAATGGGGGGGGGGGGGACGCAACAAAAGGCCATTCAGAGAACTGTGCATTCCAAGACATCATCACGACTCACAAGAGATCTTGTTCCTTGCCGACCAGTTCCACCTTCTCCTCCCGAATCCTCGCCAGTGCAGACTGTACCACACCCCCAAAGCAACCGGCATGCAGTTGCCGTCAGTGAACTGTCAACAACACATCTGTGCATCAAGTTACACGCAATGCATACACACAGTACGCACACTCTTTCACACACACTGCCATGGAGACGCTCAACGATCCACCACCACCACCACCACCACCACCACCACCACCACCATCAACATGGGCAGCCGCAGCAGTGCACCTGTATCTGCTTGTGCCAGGACTTTTGCATCTTCTTGAACGACATGCGTGGCGTTCGCTCAAACCCTGCCGGCCGCGGCTGCAGAGGGTGACACCGTGATATCGTGAACGTGTGATATGAAGAAGGGCATTCATTTGTGACATGCGTGGGGTGCAGGTGCGACGTATGTCGCGCGCTCACGCGCAACAATAGCTGATGCATTGAAACAATCCGTGCATCCATTCACTCGTCATCAAGCTATCGCCAACCAATCCTTTATCTTGACGCAATCAACACCGCTGTCTTACCCGCTCGAGGATGACGAGGATTTGCGCGAACGTTGGGCGATCGTGCGGTTCGCGCTGCCAGCAATCTACTCACACACGCACACACATGTACAGGTTGGAGACGTGAGCAATAGGTGACAGCACACGACTCATTCATAGAGCGCAAATCATCTGCAACGCACACAGACGCACAGACAGACAGACAGACAGACAGACAGACAGACAGACACACCCACAGACAGACAAACACACAGACAAGCTCAAGCTCACAAGACCGCACCTTTGAGCAGCTGAGCAAAAGGGTCGGGGCATTCGTTTGGGATGGGGAGGGTGAGGCTGTTTGAGCCAATGCCGTACACAATCGCAGCAAAGTCCAGACCTTCATAGGGCGGCTGGAGCGTATTGTGTATTGTGCATCGTGTGTATGTGAGATCAAATGCAGGCTGGGTCACACGCAACAAACCTCAAACAAAACACAGCTGCCCAAGACATGGATGCCACCACCACCACCACCACCACCACCTGTGCACACCTTTCCCGTGAGCATGGACCAGCAGACGACACCGTAACTCCACACGTCCGACGCCTTTGAGAAGACGGACTGGCGAATTGCCTCAGGACTCATGTACGCGTATGTGCCCGCTTGGTCAACCCGCGTCGTGTGCGTGTGCTCGCGCGCAAGCCCAAAGTCACTGCACCGGAAAGAATTCAGTCGGGTTAGAACAAGCACCGCACGCACACACAAACACACACACACACACACACACACACACACACACACACACACACACACACACACACACACACACACACACACCACTGACCTGATTTTGAGGACGTGGTTCTCTGCGACGAGGATGTTGTCGGCCTTGAGGTCGCGGTGCACGAGCGCAACCGGCGCCTCATCGTGCAGATAGTGCATGCCCTGATGGATGTGTTGTGGCGGTGTGTGGTGGTGATGTGGAAGTGGTGGTTTGTGGCGGTGGTGGTGTGAGAACGCGAATGGTTCAATGCGAAAGCAGTGCATGCAGCGACGCTGGCAGATGTCACTCAACACCATCTCCACCAACGAAATACACCACTGTCACAACCCTTCCCCCCCCCCAATTTCCAAAACAAAACAGCAAACCCAATCCGCGACCTTTGCGATCTGCGCTGCCCAGTCGAGCAAGCGGGCCGGGTCGAGTGTGTCCTTGCCAATGTGCTTCGCCAGCGTCCCGAGTGCTGCATACTCGAGCACCAGGCAGAAGTTGGGCGGCGCAATGCACGCGGCTGGCAAATAGGTGGGATGGAGCGTGTGAATGTGTGAATGTGTGAGTTTGCGTGAATGTGCGTGAATGTGCGTGTGTGAGTGAGTACAAACATGCGCGTTGTTGTGTATGTGGAAGTAAGTCTGAATATGTGTGTGCGTGTGTGCACTAGTTGCGTTTGCAGAGACATGGCTGTGGGCAACAGCACACAGGAATCGTGCGCAGGGTCGTGTGTCGTCGTCCACCTCTGAGCTGGATGATGTTGCGGTGGCGGAGATTATGCAGCAACTCCGCCTCTTGCAGCAGCCGCGCCTCAGTCTGTTCGTAAACGCACACACACACACATACACACACGCACGATGATCAGCATTTGTAAAGCAGGCACAAAAACGCATGCGCATCCAGGAATGCATTTTCTTTTTTTTTTGCATAGCACGTGTACAGGAGAACAAGACATTCCACGTTGCACATTTCACACTTTGCATGCTCTCCACCACCGGCACAACCATCAGCACCAGCACCACCAGTGTTGCATGCTCACCTTGCTGTGGTCGTTGCAGACTTCCGAGAGAAGACGCTTGATGGCGACGGTTTCGCCACGCCACCGCCCGCGCAGCACCTGAGCAGTGGTTCGATGAATAAGGTTGGTGAGGCGGGTGGGTGGTGAGAACAGGCACGAAGCAACGAAGAGCTCGGAGTGATGCTTACCACAATGAACACATGTACACACACATACATGCACACACACACACATACATGCACACACACAGCCACATACGCACACACACACACACATACACACACACATACATGCACACACACATACATGCACACACACACACACACACAACCCCAGCGCACCTCGCTAAAGCCGCCGCGTCCAATCACAGTCTCCACTTTCAACTCTGAAAAGTCAATCAGCCACTGGGGCTGCAGTATATCCGCGTACACGCGCGCGTGCATGTGAGCACATGTCAATGAGGCACACGAAATACAGCTTCAGCCGCATCAAGCGACACACACAAAACAACACAAACCAGCACCAACAACACAAACATCACAAACATCACGAACATCACAAACATCACGAACAATCCAAACCACCACCACTGACTGCTCACCCTGTACTTGACAGTGTCCGCGTACACGCGTTGACTTCGTGCAGACGAGCGAGACGCTGCAGACCGCGACAACTGCCCGCTCTCGCCACCACCACCACCACCATCATCATCATCATCGTCATGGTCTTCATTGTCGTGGCGGCGAAGACGTGGTGCGCCCTGCTGTCGTCCACTCCCCGTGCGCGATACAGGGAGAGCGCGGCCATCACGGTGGCTGCTCTGGTGATCTACGACACCAGCACCACCATCGACATGGTGTGATTGATGTTGCTGCTGCTGCTGTTGCTGAAGTTGGTCGTCCATGTCGTGCTCGTGGCGGTGGTCGTGGTGAAGCTTGTGGCTGCGTTGCCTGGCTTCGTGGCTGCTGCGGCTGCTTTCGCTGACAGATGCACTCGTGGTCGTGCTGAAATCGCTGTCGTCAACACTTCCGTACACACGCACGGTGGTCTCTGTTGCATTGCTGCTGGTGATGCTACCGCTGCGGTTGGTCGTGGTGATCCCGCCATCACGCGACCCGCCACCGGCCACAATTGCGGTGCGAGGGATGGAGGCGGTGTCACCGGTCTTTTCCACGGACACCGCTGCTGATGCAGACGATGGTGACGACGACAGGTCGCTTGCTGCCTGCTGCTGCTGCTGCTGTTGTTGTTGGTGTTGTTGGTGTTGGTGTTGTTGCTGTTGTTGTTGTTGTTGTTGTTGTTGTTGTTGCATTATGTCCTGCTCAACCACTCCGCCATCAGCACCATCGTCCGCGCCGTCGCCATCGTGGCCCGTGTCGTCCGCCTCCGTCTCGTGGATGATGACGCTCGACCACGACGCGTCGCTCCTGTAGTGATCGATGCGGTGCACGGTCATGCGGTGGTGGGCATGAGAAGGGTTGTGGATGAGACAAGAGGGTTGTTGGTTGATTAAGGAACCGGGCGGTGATGTGAGGTCGTGTTGGGATAAGAGGGAGAAAGTTCGAGTGGAAGTGGGAGCCAGTGGCAAAGAGGAGCAGGGACGAACAGGCGACAACACCAGTGGAGAAAGGAGAGAGGTTGGAGGAAGAAAATGAAACGCTCTTCAAAGAACAACCGTAGGCAATGGGTTGCAGAGTGGCAGCACTCACCTGTTGCTGTCCTGGCGAACTCTAGGTCGCTGCGGTGACAGCAACGCCGCCAACCCATGCACTTCACCATCCTCCTCTTCTTCACGTCCTTCTACTTCTGCCTCCTCCTCCTCCTCGTCCTCATCATCATCATCATCATCATCATCATCATCATCATCATCATCGACGACAACAACACCAGCGCCAGCTTTGCTGGTGCCGTTTCCCGCCGCTGCTGCCACCTCGCTCCCACGCCACCCCCTCTCCCTTGCATCCGCACCCAGCGTACCTCCACCCACATTATCGTCACGCACCCCATCCACCTCCACACCCTCTTCCTCATCGACATCGTCGTCGTCATATCCTTCCTCCTCGTCCTCGTCCTCGTCCTCGTCGTCCTCGTAATCGTCGTAATCGTCGTGGTCAGCGAAGATGGAGCTGAGGCAGCCGCGGGCCACAGCGACCAATTGCCCGCGGAACAGCACTGGGGGTGGGGAGGGGCGGGAAGCAAGGGGGGGGGGAAGCAAGGGGGAGGTTGTGTGAGTTGTGTGAGTGTCAGCACACAGGCCACTGTCGGGGTGTATGAGCGCAAGTACGATTACAAATGCGTGGGCTCATGACATTCCGGCATGCACGTGCAAGTCAAAGTGTTCATGTTCAGCAAGTGGGCTGACATGACAGGATATCAGGTGGCAGGAGACGGCATACAATGGCACACCCTTCCCAACACCATCATCGCCTTTACCACCAGCAACGCACCGTTGACGAGAGCTGGCGGCTCCTCCTGCCCATCATCGCCATCACCATCACCATCACCACCACCATCGTCGTGGCTGTGATGGTTCGAGATGAGGACGAGGTCACCGACTTGAAGGCCGCAGTGTACGCGCCGCCTCGATCGCGGGCACTCCGCGTCGTGCACACGACGGCCGTCGTGCTGTTGGCGGTACAAGGGGGAGTGGCGGTGCTTGCAGGCACACACCACCCGTCCCTCCTCCTCCCCTTCCTCGTCTTCCTGCACCTCGCTGTCATCATTCGCATGGCAAGAGACGTCTTCCTTGCGGGCACCGTTGGCTGTGGTGGCGCTCTCCGTGACAGCGAGTGGCGCAAATGTGGGGATGGCAAGCGAGTGGCCAAACGCAACCCTGCCATCAGTGATGATGGTGACGGTTGCGATGGTGATAATGGTGGTGACGTGACGAAGGTCATGAGCGGCGTCAGGGCGGTAAGAACGATTGTCAACCTGACAGCGAGACACAGCTTGCACCAGCCAAACAGCAAACACCCACCACAAGCACAACCATCACCACCAGAAAAAAGCCAGTATCAATGGATGTTGACTCACCGCCTGACGCGACAGAGATCACTCTCATTCAGCATCTCCATGTTTGATGTGTTCAGCAGCCCAATGTGCCCGCGCCATCGCTGTACACACGTGAACACATGGTGTTGTGTGCCATATGCACAGGAACAGAGGAAGCAGAAGGATAAGAATGAAGGAATAAGGGACACTCACTTGAGTTGGTTCGTGAATGGATGAACACGTGCGTGTATTTCACCACGCACAACAAACTACACACACACACACACACACACACACACACACACACAATCACATTGGCGCTTCACTCCAAGTGCAATCATGAGCCCATCACTCATCACCCATCACCCATCACTCATCAACACCCCCCCCCCCATGTCCATCCCCGCACCACTTCGGTCGTGTCGTCGTCGATGGCGGTGTACATCACCTCCACGAGATCCCCCTTTCGCGGCGTCAAGAGATCGTTCGTGTCAGAAAGCGCCTCATCAACCACGCGCGCAATGTTCGCTTCTGCAGTGTGGATGATGAGAACAAGGAGCGAGTGGTATGTGAGTGCGCGATCACAATGCAGGGCTGAGGAGCAGGCAAGAGGATTGGCAGGCCTTGATGGCCGTCTCTACACAGACAGAGAGACAGACAGACGGACAGACAGAGAGACAGACAGAGAGACAGACAGATAGACAGACGCACACACAGACGCACACACAGACAGACGCACACAGACAGACAGACACAGACGTACCGATGGGAGCATCGCATCTGATCAGATGTGGATCGAGCAAGCAGTTTGCGCCCTGCGGTGCAGTGTAGCTGTTCGCGGGCTGGCAATCATCTGGCATGGGCAGCTTCGCTATGCTGGACGCCAGCTTTGTAAACTCTGTCCGCGCACCCGCGAGAGGGACGGAGGGAGGGAGAAGAAGAGGGGGAGGGTGGAGAAGAGAAAAGGGCCAATGTGTTAGCAGCAGCGAGTACGTGGCAGGCAAGCAAGGCCGCGAGACATCATCTGACACAAAGGCACATAACACAGCTGTACAACGCCAAGCCATAACGTGATGTGCGTGTTGGAAGTCACAAACAGAGAAAGCAACAACAACACGCCATGTGTCGGCCACGCACTTGAATACTGCGACTCGACGGCCTGATGGATGTAAGTATTTGGGAAGGCGCAAGGCCCGCCCTGCTGCACATCGCGCGGCGGAGATGTGGATGCTGCAGATGAAGGTGATGAGGACGAGGAGGGTGGCGAGGGAGGTGGCTCCCTCGTGAAGTCGGGCTGGTCGTTTTCGTCCATCGGTGTGTTGGTGTAAGAGAGCGGAGAGGAGACGAGATGCGTTGCTTAAAGCACGCTCGCCTTTTGCTCTTGCCTGCTGGTTGCTTGCTTGCTTGATTGCTGTCTCCGCTCGAGAGCTGCACACTATGAATCATCAATCTGACAGGGTGCCTCCCCACAGTTAATGCGCACACGAACGCACAAACGCACACACGCACGAGCGAGCACTCAGACAATGGTAGTTTCTTCCCACTCTGTTCTCTGTCTTCTCTATCTTTGTCTCCGTGCTGTGCTTGGCTCAGATGAAAGCCAAGCCAAGCCAAGCAAAGCCAAGCGATGTGCTGGCTGGCTGTTCTCGTTTGCCTTCTTGGCTGCTTGCCCTTCACCTCCAGCACAACAACAACAACCCTTTGTGCGGAAGAAGTCTTGGCGATTTGTGAAAGATGTTCACTAATCTTCGTGCCTTTTCTTGGCGTTCAAACACACACAGGAAGAAGAAACGACACACACAGTTGCCGTTGCGCTTTCTTTCCTTGTCCCTCCTGCTTCATTCGTGTGTGTCGATCACACGCGTGCACAGGTGCACGCACAGCACGCACCCCTCCACGTGTGCATCACACGTACCTACGCATCGAAGCCTGCTTCTTGCTGTCGTTGTATCAATTGGCAACAACCGCGGGCATGGCCAGCGGCTTCCGTTATCACATGTGGGATGGATGGCTGCTCCTGCTCCAGATGATCACGCTGCAGTGCTTGCACTACGCATCGCTTGGAATATTCGTGGCTGCCATCTCTCATACCCTGGCACTACCACCGGCGCTGGACTATATCTTCTCAGACGTGGTGCGTCTCATCAAACACAATCAAACACACACGCACACACACACGCACACACACACGCACACACACACACAAACACACACACACAAACACACACAAATACAAATACACACACACACACAAACGCACACAAACAAACACACACGCACCGCCTTGACTGAATACGTGTTCATAGCACTCGTGCATGAGAGTGTGTGTTGTTTTGTTCACTCCAAGCCTTTCTGACGGACTCACTTCTTTCATGACGCAGGCGTTAGGGATCTGGCAGCTTGGCATCGCCTTTGTATTGAACGCTGTGGTGACGTGAGTCCGATCCGTTGCCTGCTGCGCGAGTTGGTGTGCGTTGTGTGTTGAGTGTGTTGCAGCCATGTACGTGTGCCTTATGTGTGTGTGTATGTTTGTCTTGTGCATGTGTTTGCGGCGCGCTTGTTGATTCGCTGGCATGGCTTGTCCGTGCGTAGCTCACGCTGCCTGCGTCGTGTTGTTTTCGCGCAGGGGCTTTTTGATACGGATCTTTGTACGCCGTGCGAAACAAGTAAGCGACTCTGTGTGTGTGTGTGTGTGTGTGTGCGTGTGCATGTGTGTGTGTACGTGTGTGCGCTTGCTGTTTGTACAATTACGGTCATGATGGCATTCCCCTCCGTTTGTGCTCATTGGAATGTTTGCATGACTGGCTGGTTGCAGTGTCTTGACTTTGCATCCACCATCTTCCTCTTTCACCTGATTGCGTGCATCGGGTATACTCGCTTTCCACGGTAAGGACTGCGCACGTGATATATGTGAACGTGTGTGGATGTGGGTGTGGTGAAGGTTGCATGTATGTGATTCATGCTGGTTGTTCCGCTGCTGCTTGTCTCGTTCATGCGGACTCAATCACTCCCAACCATTCACACACTCACGCGACACACACACACACCCACACACACACACACACACACACACACATTCGACGCACGCCATGACGCACACATGATCACACACACACACACACGCGCGCGCGCACGCACGCACACACACACACACACACACACACACACACACACACACACACACACACACACACACACACACACACTGCTTTAGCGCTGCGTCGTGGTGGCTGCTCAACGGGGCGTGCGTGGCCATATCAGCGACGCTGTCCGAGTACCTGTGCATCCAATCGGAGATGAACGAGAACATCAGCGTCGACACTGCAGGTGCGGGCCAGGCTCAGCACGGCGGGAACCACATCATGGGGCATGGTGCCACCTCAGCACCGTCAGCACCGTCAACATCCTCATCGTCCACCACTGCAGCAGCAGCAGCAGCTGCTGCTTCGTCGCTCGTTCGTGGTGGTTATGGTGGTGGTCGTGGTGGTGGTGGGCAGCAGGAGCCACCATACATGCCATCGCCGTCCAAACGTAAGGCGGTGGTGCGGTCTGGTTTCTTCGGCAGATAGCGTGTGGCGTCGCACGTGCTGTTGTGCTTTGTGTGCTGTGGGTTGGTGCTGTACATAGGGGAAACGCGTGGCATTGGTCACTGCTTGTTTCTTCCTCCCCCCCCCCCGCTTATCTTTCTAGTAGACTTTGCGACACAGAAAGGAGCGAAAGACCATGGGAGGGATATGCGGAGATGTTGGTGAAGGAAGGTGCACAGAGAGATGGAGGCATGAATGGTTCAAACACACACACACACACACACACACACACACACACACACACACACACACACACACAACAACAACACACTGTGATGACTCATCACTGGCTTTGTTCATTTACATTAACAACACAACACCACCATCGCCCGCGCACACGCGCGCGTCCAAAACACCAAAACACCCACAACCACCATATCGCCCGCGCACACGCGCGCGTCCAAAACACCAAAACACCCACAACCACCATATCGCCCGCGCACACGCGCGCGTCCAAAACACCAAAACACCCACAACCACCACTGCACCGCCACCATGAGTGGGGAGGAGCGGCAGGCGCTGATGAAGAAGGACAAGAAGGATCTCGAGGCTGGCCCGTTTGGGCCACCACAGCCGACGGGGCTGCCTGCGTACGGCAGCGCTACGTCGAGTGCATATCCAGGCTCAAGCGCGCCGCCACCACAGGTGAGCAGCAGGCTGTTGTTGCAGCGCACGAAGTGCTCGTGCCTGTTGTGTATGACGTTGGAAGTGCTTTGTTGTTGGTAGGAGAAGTTCGCTGCACTTGCCGTGCGGTGGTACAAAGGTGTACATGCGTTTGCACACACCCACGCCCACGTTGCAAGTACACAATACACACACATACACTCACGTTCATGCATACAAACACACATACGCATGCACTTACACACATGCGTACAAACAAACACACATGCGTTAACCGTCACTTCAACTTCGCTGAAGGGGATGATGCCGCCGGGCCAGCCAGGAGCGCCAATGGCCGAAATGATGGACCCCTCCGGCATGGCATCCCCGCCACCACCACCACCGCCTGTAGGGCAGCAGCAACAGCAAGGCGTGCCGAGCGCGCCACCTGCGTATGTGCCACAGGCCGCAGAGAATGAGGTGGATGTCAACGAGCTGCCTCCAGCATACGAGGACGACGTGTCCTGCTCCGCCGGCATCAAGCGCAACCAGCACAAGATGTGCCTGGTGTTCACTCTGGGCCTCCTCACCGTCATCATCCTGCGCATCCTGGCAGCGTTTGATGTTCTCCCGGAGCCCGCCAACAGCAACCTCAACAACCCCGCCATCTTCTGGCCCATCTTTGCCGGCGTGTATCTCATCTACTTCATTGAGTGCACGTGCTCCAGCACAGGCGCGTTCACGCGCAACAAGACCATGCAGCCCGAGCTGCTCGTGCAGCAAGTACAGCAGTCTCCACCAAACATCAACTGGTTCATCCAGGTGTGTGTATGTATGTATGTATGTATGTATGTATGTATGTATGTATGTATGTATGTATGTATGTATGTATGTATGTATGTATGTATGTATGTATGTATGCATGTATGTATGTATGTATGTATGTATGTATATTTGTGTGTATGTATGTATGTATGTATGTATGTATGTATGTATGTATGTATGTATGTATGTATGTATGTATGTATGTATGTATGTATGTATGTATGTATGTATGTATGTATGTATGTATGTATGTATGTATGTATGTATGTATGTATGTGTGTTCACGTGCTGTTGTGCGCTCCCACATCGCTCAAACGTTGGTTGCGGTGCGTCTCCCTCCCTTCCCTCTTCCCTTTCACCTGTACTCATCCCGATCCCATTCTCCCTTGTATCCACGACAGTGCTACCATTACGAGACCCGCCATCGCACCCGCACCGTTCGCGACAGCAACGGAAACACGCGCACCGAACACTATACTGAGCGAGGTGCACACCACTTGCATCGCATATCATGCATGCACATAAATGCATGTGCACATCATGCACACATCGCCCAAATCCTAATCACCCCCATGTGCACAATCACACTCACACACATACTCACACATACTCACACTCACTCACTCACTCACTCACTCACTCACTCACTCTATCTCACACACTCTCTATCTCTCACTCTCACACACACCCCATCTCTCACTCACTCACACGCTCTATACGGCTTGTCAGTGCGAGTGAACACACACTCTGCCCGCCAAACATATACCATGCCGCACTGGCGTGACTCCAGCCCGCAATGGCTGCCGCCCACGTGAGTGTGCATCGCGTGCTATTGGTGCTACCGTCGCAACTTGAGCTGCGTTGTCGTTTGTTGGTCGTGACATGCAATTCACGCCCGTATCTTTGTGTATTTCAATCTCACTCAACACACATGTACGTGCACACACGCACACACACGCACACATCCGCGGCAGGCACTCCCTGACGAAGCACAAGTTCTACTTTGGGTTTTCGTTCAGCAACGCGTCCGCTGCTCAGCGCTACAACACTGAGAAGGCAATCTTCATCGCCACAAACAACAGGTCCATTATGCGTCCTTGTATCCTCGTTCGCTCGTGCGTGTGTGTGTGCGTGTTGTTGTTGTGTATGTGTTGTGTGTGTGTGTGTGTGTGTGTGTGTGTGTGTGTGTGTGTGAGAGCGTGCGTGCATACGCAACTGTTGTTGCTGTGCTCAACAAGGAACACCCTCCACCCTCTCATCTCCACCCCCATCTCCGCATCACAGGGACGTCCACTTTGACTTCAACGAGAACCGCACCATCGCCGGGTTCCGCAAGCACGTGCTCGGCATCCGCGAGGGCGCGTCGCTGCCGTGCTCCGTGCGCCAGGACATGTTCTGGCTCACCGCCGTCTTGGGTCTCTCGTGGCTCTTCCGTGTCCACCTCTCCTCCTTCACCGGTCTCCACAGATACACGTTCATCAAGCTCATCGACGCCTGAACGTTGTTGTGTGGTGTTGTGTTGTTGTGTATGTTGTGTGGTGTTGTGTTGTTGTGTATGTGGTGTGTGTGTGTGTGTGTTGTGTATGCGTTGTGTGTGTGTGTGTGTGTGTGTGTGTGTGTGTGTGTTGCCTTGCATGACGCGCGCTTGCACGCTGTCTGCCCGTTATCCCTTGTAGCACTTCATGATTTGCCACGTGTGCTGTTCCTGAAGCCTTCCCTTCACCCGCACTCGGAGTGTATGGGCGAGTTGTTCTCATGCTAAGTGCGCCGCTCGCGCCGTGTTTTCATCTCTCCCCTCCATCTTCTTCCCTCCTGTTCACACGCGTGAGTGCAGAAAACCACAACCACTGTAGAAACGTCTTCTTCTTCCATGTTTCAGCTTGTCAACAGATGTTGTACTTGCCGAGGTGAAGCAGTCACACGCACGCACACGCACAGACAACAACACACGCACACGCACAGACAACAACACACGCACACACATACATGACGACGACGACGACAACAACAACAACAACAACAACAACAACAACAACAACAACAACAACAACAACAACGCTGCCACACGCTCAATTCTCTTTTCAAAAGAATGAAAGAAAAATCTGTGGAGAGAGGGGGCGAGGGGAACAGCAGACGATGGTTCATAGCGCGTAAACCACCGTCATGTGGCGATTGCATCAGGCAGCAATCACACGCCGCGGTTGGGCAGGTCCTTCACCTTGTAGATGCGCACGAGCCAGTGCTCTGTGGTGAACGCTTCCTCCAGCACATCGAGCTGGAAGTCCTTGTTTCCAATCTCCGCCTGCCGCACGCGATCCCACCCGCTCGGCTTGCCTGTACACCATTTGCGGCAGGGAATGAGAGACAGTGTGTGTGTGTGTGTGTGTGTTGTGTGTGTGAGTGCGTGTGTGTGAGAGAGAGTGTGTGTGTGCGTGTGAGAGAGAGAGTGTGTGTGTGTGTTGTGTGTGTGAGTGCATGTGTACGTGTGCGTGTGTTTGTGCGTGTGTGAGTGTATGTGTGTGTATGGGTGTGAATGTGCCTGCCCTCCCCTGTCGTTGTCTGCCTGTTCGCTTGTCTCACTGCCCCTCCGCCAACAGTCCATCTCGTTCAAACAACAGTCATCCGTGCACGTGTCCTCCCACCCCGAATGCGCCCCATTTCCACTGCAGTGCGCACCTGGCTCCGTGTGGACCTCGCCAAAGCGGTAGTAGCACATCTTGTACATGAGGCAATTGAGCATGGTCTGCGAACCCGACGAGTCGATGCGGAACTCCCCAGACGGCGTGAAGTAGTCCGCTTCCTGCAAGAGGGGGGGGGGGAAGCGATAAGGGAGGAGGTTGAAGGACGTGTTAATCGTGGTCGTGTACAACGACACGAACACGCAACACTTTGAAACAAGTGTACTCGCGCGCGTACACCCGTACACCCGTACACCCGTACACACACACCCCCGTACACCCGTACACCCGTACACACACACCCGTACACCCGAACACACGTACACCCGTACACCCGTACACCCGTACACCCGTACACCCGTACACCCGTACACACACACACACACACACACACACACACACACACACACACACACACAGACACACCTTGATGTGGGCGCCTGGCGGGGTGCTGCCGCCAATGCGGACCATCCAGAGAAACTTGTTGATATCATCCGAAGCAAATCCGGTGAGACCGCCAAACAGGACAAGAACGTAGTCAACATCGAGCTCGCGCATAATCTCGTAGGCGTGGTCTTCCGGGGATGCCATGGCTTGCCCAACGCGCGAAATGTGCGTGTTGTTCCACGTGTTGTTGTCCACGATCACCGTCCGGTCTGCCATGGCCGTAATCTGGTAGCCGTAGTCCCACCACGACATCACCTGCGACAGAGAAAAGGCGGGGGGAGGGGAGTGTGAGCGATGAGGAAAGGCCAAGGGGAATGTAGAGTGAAATATGCATTGGCAGGGCGCAACACAAAAAGATGCATCCAAGCCCCATGCACGCGTGCTACAACTGTGACCCCGCCCCATCTTCCCTTTCCCTCCCCCCTCCCCCTGCCTTCCTCCTTCGCTCCTTCCCCTCCATCCCTTTCCTCCCTGCCGTGATTCCGCTGTACCTTTGCGTTGTGGTCGGTGTTCATCCTGAGCCAATAGTATGCCTCCCTAAAGTCGTCGAAGATGCGCCGGGAGCCGTCGCCCTGGGAGGCGGCGAGCACGATTGACGGCGACGAGTACGCCTCGCTCGTCACCCACGTGCAGTGGAACGAAAACAGAATCAGGAACAGCGCCATCGCGCCAATCACGCCAACCGACGCCTGCGGTGGTCGGGCACGGCAGGTGGCAGCACAGGTGTGAATACATGAGGTGGAAGAATGCGAAGATGCAAGAAGCAATGCCACGCACACGCACACGCACACACACAGACGCACACACACACACACACACACACACACACACACACACACACACACAGACGCGCGCACTCACCTCCGTCTTGAGCGGGAAGGAGGCGTCGTCCTTCTGCTGCTGCTTGGCGGACGTCTTCTTGGTGGTGGTGAGGTTGCCCATGTACGCCGTCAGAATGCCCGAGACAGCAATGCCGCCCAGCACACACATCACGGGCGCAAGCACGAGCATCAGGCGAACCATCACCCCAGAGAAGTAGATGCTGCACATGCACAGCAGTACGGTGATGGTGATGTGTGTATGTGAGAGAGTGAGAGAGGAGAGTAGGGTGGTGAGTAAGATGCGGGAACACGAGCACGACCACAGAAGGCAATCACAAGCGCATCTTGTCAGACAACTTCTGCAACCACCGCGCTCCCACCGCTTCCACCACAATGCCACCGCTTCCACCACCGCACCTGGTGACGCCGTAGAGGATGATGAAGATGTTGGCGTTTGTGAGGTTCTTGAAGCAGTAGTAAAGGCCAAGCGGGAAGAGGAAGACGAGAAACTGCAGGTCAAAGTAGTACGAGGACCACGTCGTGGGCTGGTGCTCCGAGACGGAGGCAATGATTGGGATGTGGTTCTTCGCATACGTCGGGTCAAGCATCGCATAGAAGCTGCGTACACACACAGACACACACGCACACACACACAGACACACACACACACAGAAAGACACACACACAGACAGACATACAATACACACACACACATCACACCATGGCACCGCGGCGGTGTGAGCGAGAGAATGAAAGCAACAAGGGGTGATGTTGGAGGTGAAAGGACCAAGACGCTCAGGTGTGTGATGCAATCGGACCCAACTACTGCACCAGCACCGCAACAACAGCAACAACAACAGCAGCAGCAACAACAACAACAACAACAACAGCAGCAGCAGCAACAACAACAACAACAACAACAACAACAACAACAACAACAACAACAACAACAACAACAACAACAACAACAACAACAACAACAACAACAACAACAACAACAACAACAACAACAACAACAACAACAACAACAACAACAACAACAACAACAACCACGATAACGATGATAACGATGGGGAACTGACCGGCCGGTCCAGGGGGCGATCTTGCCGAGCGCAGTGGCAACACCGACACCAGCGGCGGCGAGGGCGAGGGCGACAAACAGCACAAACCGCGAGAGAGTGGCAAAGTCCTGCGCAGACAGGCGGCTCTTCAGCCACTGCACAAACGCAAAGATCTGGCACAGGCCTGCAGTAGTAGTGGTGGTGGTGGTGGTGGTGATGATGATGATGATGAGGAATGCGCATGGGTTTTGGTAGAGATGAAGTGGCAGTGAAGATGGGCAGCCTTGAGCAGCCACACGCACAACACACAGACACGCACAGACACACGCACAACACACAGAGACACACGACACATGTGACCACAATCAATCTACAGCAACCGGAGTAGAGCGTGACAATGGTGTGGGAAGGAGGATTCACTGACCAAACACTCCAAATGCGCCCATGTGCTCGGACGTCTGAAGCGGCTGGAAGCCAACAAACGAAATCTGCATGCTCAGAATCGTCCCAAGCACATACAGCTGCTCGCAACCCAGTGTGTGTGTGTGTGTGTGGAATGGGGCATGTCGTTAGTGTGGTGCAGACACTTCACGTGTGTGCGTGAATGTTAGGTGCGCTATGGGCAACAGCTCAACGGCACGCGCCAGCCAGCAGCATGCTCTACGCGTGTGTGAGTGACTCACGGTTGAGTATGCGACGTAGACGCTCTGGTTGAAGCGGCCGGTGATCATGAGGACGAGGACGTGCAGCGGGATGAGGTTGATCAGGAACACATACCCGCCCCACGAAGACACCTGCACACAACACAATTGAAATGATGACGGCATCCATGATGGTGAGCAGAGCGAAAGCACGAAGGCACCTCAATTGGGAGGCGGGATGTATCCGCACAGTGAGTGTGTACGCAGCGCTGTGTGGCACACGCACACACACACACACACATACTCACACGCACACACACACACACGCACACTGCGGCAAGCGCACCATGTAGAAGTAAGCGAGGGCTGCGGCGGAGGACCAGAAGAGGGAGCCAGTCTTGACGGCCTTCACCCAGAGGTAGTACGTGTTGAGCATGCAAAAGATGGCAATGCCCTCGTTATCGTACGAGCCCGCCACGGACCGCGAGATGTAGCCGGGGACGATGGCAACCATGCACGCTGCGACCAGGCCAGCCCGCTCATTCTGCAAGCAGCAGCGACGGCATGTGTGGGTGAATGTGTGTCACTGATGTGTCACTGGTGTGGCTTGAACTACGTTCACTCATTTGTCATGACACGGTCGCACGCGCACACACACACAAACACACGCACGGTCGCACACACGCACACACAACCACACGCACGGTCGCACACACACACATACACACACGCATACACACACACACACACACGCAGATATACGCTGCGTACGCGGAGCTCCTTTGTGAGGAGGTAGGTGACGAGGGTGGTGAATGCGGAGAAGAGAGGGGCGAGGAACACGCACACGTCGCGAATGTCGATGGTGACGTGGATAAAGTGCAGGGCCTTGAAGATGATGGTGGAGGTGACCATGAGGCCAGGGTAGATGGTGCCGCCGACGATGCGTCCGAGCGGGTACCACGCACGGTCGTCAAACCAGTTGTGGAAGTTGGAGAAGCCCTCCTCGACCAGGTACTGGGTGGTGCGGTAGTTGAAGTATGGGTCAAACTCGTGGATCACGCTCTCGAACCGAATCACCGCAAACAGACGAGACAGAAACGCTGTGTGTGTGTGTGTGTGTGTGTGTGTGTGTGTGTGTGTGTGTGTGTGTGTGTGTGTGTGTGTGTGTGTGTGTGTGTGTGAGTGCGAGGAAACGTGAAAAGGAGGTGAGCGTGTGTTTCACCATCAAACAACTCTCAAGCACATGACCAACAAGCGCAATCAACTCGCAACCATCAAACACACACATTCGCACATATCCACAAACGCATCCACGCACAACAACACAACCACATCCACAACAACAGCTCTACAATAAACACAACACCATCCGTGGCCCATGAACCAACCCATGGCGCAAGCGAGGACGAGGATGGCAAGCTTCATGAGGGACATGGTCTTCTCCCTCTGCTCTTCGGTGCTGCCAAAGGCGGCATTGACCTTGTCCAGCACATCAGCAAGCCCGCTGCCAGAGCCACTCTGCGCAGTGGCAACCGCACTGCTTCTTCCTTTCGCCATATCCAATGCTGCTGTCTTCTTGTTTAGTGGGGAGAAAGCGGCGAAAAAAATAAACTGTTATCTCTCGTCTTGGGCCCGTTGCACACGGTTTTTGTTGAAGATACCACCAACTCTTCCACAACCGCAACCACCAAATGGGCGCAGCAAAGACGACGAAGCGCCAAGAGAAAAACGAGACAGCACCACCACCAGCACAGCACCAAGCACAACCCACGGTCACAGCGCTTCCCCTTCTCCTTTTACTCACCAGCAAGCATCGACGCGCTCGCTGGTGCACGCCACGCGTCTCACGCAGTGCGACCCAGCCTTCTCTCTCTCTCTCTCTGTGACATCGCCCATTGTGAGTGTGGTGTGCTTGTGTTTGTTCGTTGCCTTAAAAAAAAGCGTCTCGTGCTCCGCCCTTCCGTGTTTGCGTTGGACACGCACAAACGGAGAGCAGCATGCCGATTCGCCGCCCAAACAGCAACAGCGGCCGGGCCGGCCGCATTTGGATGGTGGTGGCGCTGATTGTTGTGGTTGTGCTCGCTGTGCACGATTTGTCGACGCGCAGCAAACTGGCAGAGACAGAGCAAGAGAATGAGAGCATCAGACAAAGCCGCGACGCCATGCAGCTGCAAACGAGCCAATGCAGCTCAAACCTCCACGACATGACGTACGTCGGGCGGGATAGGGGTGTGGGGTGTTGGGGAAGAGTCGGGCTTATCGTGTCTCTGTGGGTCTCTGTGGGTCTCTGTGTGTGCCTGTGTGCCTGTGCGTGTGTTTACACTACTTGTGCGCGCATGCTTGTCGCTGAGCCGATGTTTAGCGCACATCATTTGCTCGCTCGCAAGCATGCGCTCACTTTTGCTGTCCCAAATCCACAACCCACATCACAGGGTGAAGAACAAGATGTGTGAAAGTGAACGAGAGGATGACCAGCGTGCCTTCAACTTGAAACTGGATAAGCTGCAAAAGGTTCTCATGGCTCAAAAGGAGGCAGTCTCAGAGGCGCGGATGGATGCAACAGGTGTGTGTGTGTTTGTGTGTGTGTGTGTGTGTGTGTGCGTGTGTGTGTGCGTGTGTGTGTGATGGCATGCATTGGTAGCTTGCCGTGTCCAGCATAGCTGCAGCGAGGGCTGCCTTGCTGCCTGCCACCACAATTGGCCTGACCCTTGCTCAATTCACGTGTAAACTTCACATGCTACATTCACACGCGCTTATCAATTGTGTCCATCCCCCCGGGCGTCGCTACCACCTCAGAAACAAAGAAGAAGCTCGTGGATGCAGAAG